AAAAATTTAAGGGTCGTCATATGATGACAAATTTGAAAGTTGAATCTTAAAAGGAGGAGAGAGAGAGAGAGAGAGAGAAGGCAAAGTCGTCTGCTAGTGAAAAAAAAAACCTTAAATAACTGAATTGAGGGCTCATGATGAGGAGTAACTAATGTTATTATTGTGAAATGCAAATTTGATTTAGAAATTGACAGGGATTTTGATTTATTCTAAGATGAATCCATTGTCGGTTTATTTATTCTATGACGGAAAAAAAAACCCAATTGAATTTTTTTTTTTTTCTTTTAATGGTGGACTCGAGCTTTTTTTTTTATTAGGTTTTGATTTATTTTATTTTTTCGGTAAAAAATTTTCCTTTTTTTTTTTACTTTATAAATAATGATGATGATGATGATCGTGATGGAAAATTCATAAAAGGTTAATTTTTATTATTATTTTAGGTCCTTCGAGAAGGACGCCAGCAGGTCTGGCGATTGAAATGTTTGAACAACATCAGGGAACTCACATATTACAGGTATCAGTTTTTTTTTTTTTTTTAAATTTTTTTTTTTTTTTAAGTTATTAAATTTTATTTATTTATTTATTTAAAGTCTATGGATGGATTTGCTCTCGTACTTGGTGCCGATGGTCGACTTTTGTACGTGTCGGAAACGGTGTCCATATATCTGGGACTTTCTCAGGTAATTCCCTCCAACATTTTCTATTATTAATTTAAAAGAGGAATTTAAATATCTAATAATGATAATAAAAATTATCCCTGGTATAAACCTTTGATTTTTTTTTTTTTACAATTATTAGTTAATAAAATATTTTATTAAACGATGGAAAAAATTTTTTTCCAACGCACACGCACACATACACACACACACACATTTATTTGAACAAAATGCGGCGAAGTTCATAAATGCTAGGCGGATGAATCGAAAGGAAAATGCTCCTCACGTTCGCGAACGTGACTCTCATTGCTATCAGGCAATCAATAGGCTCTCGCGCTCCCCAGTTTTCTAACAAAGATGGCCGTTTTAGCTAAATTCTAATTCAGCAAAGTTTTAATAAAAACTTTGTGAGATAAAAAAAAAAAAAATTTTTTTTTTTTTCGTCTTATAAATTTAACAAAAAAAAAAAAAAATTTTCGAACGCCATTTTTTTTTAGGTTGAAATGTCCGGAAGTAGCATATTTGATTACATTCATCACAGCGATCATGCTGAAATGGCTGAACAACTTGGATTAGGACTTTCACAATCCCAAGGTTTGTCATCTCCATCATCCGGAAATGACGATGTTAATTCAAGTTCCGGAACTGCAAATCCTGACGGTGAGTCTAAAAAAAAAATTTTTTTTTAAGGACGGGGGGAAAGCAAAGGTGTTAAATTTTTCTTTTTTTTTTTTGTTTTTTCCAGTTGCAACACAAATGTCAATTTCCAGCAGTTCAATGTACAAAGGTTTAGATAGAGCATTTTGCATTAGAATGAAATCGACTCTGACAAAAAGAGGTTGTCATTTTAAATCTAGTGGATACAGGGTAAAAAAAAAAAAAAAGAAAACAATTTTTTAAAAATGGCCGACTGGAAAACAATTTTTTAACGTCATTTTTTTTTTTTTTTACGTTCACACAGGTGGTGTTACTATTATGTAGATTAAGGCCGCAATATACGTTTTCACATAGTCGAAAATCTCCTCCTCCTTTATTGGGCATGGTAGCACTTGCTATTGCTCTCCCACCTCCCAGTGTTCATGAAATACGCCTCGAATCTGACATGTTTGTTACCAGAATAAATTTCGATTTTAGAATAGCTCACTGCGAGCCAAGGTAACTTGTCGAGAAAATGTTTTTGTTTCCTTTTTCGTTAACCAAAGAAATTTTTTACAAAATTTTTTTTTTGATTTAGGGTATCCGAGCTTTTGGATTACACAGCGGAGGAATTGACAGGAAGGAATTTATACACTCTGTGTCACGGAGAAGATGCAAATAAATTAAGAAAATGTCACATAGATTTAATAAATAAAGGCCAAGTTTTAACTCATTATTACAGACTGATGAATAAAAGTGGGGGTTACACCTGGATACAAACGTGTGCAACTGTTGTGTGCAATTCTAAAAATGCTGAAGAACAAAATGTGATTTGTGTTAATTATGTACTCAGCGCTAGAGAATATGGACATTTGGTTATGGACTGTTGTCAGTTGGAAAATACTAATCCGACGATAAAAAGAGAAACGCGACAAGATCCTGAAAATGGGTCTCCCGATGCTGATCAAGGTGGTAAGTCATCAATTTTTTGAAAGGATTATAAATTTTTATTTGTTTTACTGAACACATTTTCTCAAGTGAATATTGGTTTGCTTAGCTAAAACATTGTCTTATAGTTTAGTACCCATGTTTGTAGGGCAAAATAGTGGAGGCCCGGCAAGTTTTACACCGGATTCCCATAATTCTCCTCCTAATTCGGAAGGTAGATCTCCAGAAAGCCCTAGCGAAAAACAAACGAGACCGGATCAGACGACCCAACTTCAGGGAACTTCAACCTGCGATAGAATTAAGGTAAAATTTTTTTTTTAAGGTTTTATGTTGAAATCGATTTGGAAATAATAAACATGTATATGATTTAGGTGAATAGACCAGTAGTAAATGCTTCCATAACTGACTTAGACAAAAGCAGAACCCAAAGAAAATCTAAAAAACGAAAAGTAGGTCACGAAGTCGAAAGTTCTGAAGAAGAAGAAATAACGAAAAGATCGAGTCCGATATCTGAACATTCAAATCCTCCGCAAGACAACGCCGGAGGAACGGTTAAAGATCTCGAAGACGCCATGAGTAAACATTTGCCAAACACGAGTTCACCCGCTCATCAGCCAACGGATTTTAGCACCGATGCATTGCTTAAACAGCAAAGAGGAGCTATTCAATGGGTGGGACATCATTTGGGTCAAGCAATGCCGGCTTCTGCTCTTCTGAGACAACTCTACGCCAATCGAGAAAGTGTAATAAGAGCAAACGTACACGCCGGTGGTAGAACGCCAGCGGGAGGTGGATACTATTCCGATGGACAGGGACCCTTACCCACTCCACCGGGAAGCGAAGGTTCTTCAACGTACGGCGATCATCAATTCGGTAAAACCGGACCCAACGACACTTTTAGCACGATACCATATCCCGGTTATCACGTCGACTATCATTCGGCAATGACTCCGCCATCGTCGGTATCACCCAGAGACAAACACCAACTTTTGGACTACACCGAACTCAGGCATCCTTATTTGGAACCGACTCCACCGGCTCAGCCTCTTCCTCTAAAACCTCAAGCCTATTCCGCACATCCTACTCTCGATTATTTGGACCAATATCAAGGTGCTGGTTTTCATTTATATCATCCCAACAAGTCTTACACCGACCCACATAAAACCGGAAATTGGTATTCTGCTACGTCATAGATAAATAAATCACACACACACACACACACACGTTAATAAAAAAAATTAGTGGAGAATATCAGACTGCGTGGCTTATTTATTATCACTGCTAATCATATCAAATAGTTACTTCAATGTTATTTTTAGCTTTTTTTTTTTTTTAATATCTAACGACGCTTTTTTCAAATCACATAAATAAATAAATAAGAAAAAAAATTCGTCACGTGATCCGTTGAGTTCGTTAGATTTAAAAAAAAAAAAAAAAAAATTTTACGTTACAATCAAATTTTTTTTTTTTTTAACGTAGAAAATATTAATAATTGTTTTTAATAAGTGACAAATAAATAAATAATACATAGTAAAATAAAATAAAAAGAAAAATGGCGGTTATTAATTAAAAAAAAAAAATGGCGCGAATGTATTATTTATTAAAAAAAAAAAAAAACTTAAATAAATATATATATATATATATAGTGACTGTTTTTAATTTTTGGTAATTACTTTTCCATTGGAAATCATTATTATTATTATTATTTGTTTACAGTATTATTTTCTTTAAATAAATAGGCAATTTACTATTGATTATTTCTTAAAAATTTTTTTTTTTTTTTTTTTTGTATAAGTAAATATATAAATATTTAAATATAAATAAATAAATAAATATATATATATGATAAATAATTGAAACAAAATTTCTTTTATTATTATTATTATTATTATTATCATTTTTTATTAAGTTTGAAAATTAATTGTTTTCCCCATTATTATTATTTGTTTTTTTTTTTTTTTATGTACATAATTTCGAAATGGAAATTTTGTTTTGGAGTCATTATTATTATTATTATTATTAGGGCTCAAATTTTGATTTTAGTTCAAATTATTTATTAAATAATAATAAAGTTAATAAATTGATAACGTTGATGTCAGTTACATAATAAATAATAAAGTGGTATTAATAGAAAAATAATTTTTTTTTTTTATTTGTTTTTAATTTTATTTTTTAAATAAATAAATAAATAAATCTTGTAAATTAATAAAATAATAAAAAAAAAAAATTGATGATTGTATTTTTATTTTATTAAATAAATAAATAAATCGTTTAAATCAAAAAAATATTATTATTATTTCATTAACCTTTTCTTTTTAATAAAAAAAAAATAATAATAATACAATAATAAATAACACTCATATATATATATATATTGTTATGATCCCGTACTCAATATTCACATTTTCAACTTTTTATAAACAAAAGACTGGCGACGAACTCAAATTGTTCTTCTTTAGAAGCGAAGCTTCTAAAGACTCCTTCTTTTATTTTATTTGCAAGTGTTTGCTCGAACATTCGAAACAGTTGACTGACGAAAGACCAAAGTAATATAGGCAAGCTACACAGCTTGGCGTTGGTTCATTTGATTTTTAGTCTAGCTGTAATAAGTTCTTGTTTATTAATATTAGTTTTGTGATAGTTTTAAGTGCTTGTTCATTACTTACAAAAATAAAGAACGAACCGAATATAACATATTAAAATTTTGGCGCAGTCGATGAAGGATCATTCTGAACGACAAGAAACCGGAGAATTCTTAAGTAATTCGTTTCATGTTGGTGGGTTTTAACTCTTTATCAGAATTTCTTTATATTGTAAGTAGTAGTAATAGGTAACTCATTTTGTGAACAATGCCTAAACTTGATCAACCTGTTTTCGACCCATCCCAAATATCCCTTAGTTTCTTG